TGTGCACTGGGCGGGCCTCTCGGCGGCCCGCCAATCCCAAGCGCGCAGGAGGATGGAGCCGGCCAGCTGCCTCAGTGCCTCACTTGCCCGCAGCAGAAGAGCTGTGGTGCTCCGAAGGGCTCTGCTCCGCTCAGCACCAGCCGTCGGCTCTTCCCAATCCCCAGACTCCAAATCTCGGCCCCGGACTCTCGGCCTGGCTCTGAACTTAAGATGCCTTTTGTAAACTACTGTTATTTCTGTTTCACTTAACTTTGAAGCACAGTTCACCAACCTGAAATGCCAGCTTTTTTCTATCTTTTTCTCAAGAGTGATTATTGACCCTAGGGTCCTTTCAATCAGTGTCCGGAATCCCACAAACAGTCCAGAAAATCAGAGATATTTAACCAAGTCTTTTGGAATCATTTTTCTATGGAAGCTAAAAAAAAAAAGAGGCTAGCAGCTTTATAGATCTGTTTAGTACAACTATGAAATAAAGCTAGGGTCTCAGGTTCTGATTAACAAAGGGGGCCTGACTCCACATTAATAGCAATGGGTTACACCTAATACAGCTACGGAAACAAAGAGTATAAAAGAAAAGTAGATCAAATCGTACCCAAAGCGTAAAAATGCAGAGCTGGAAACGGGTATTATTTTAAAAGCATCAGGACAGATCCAGGATCATGACTTCCTTGGGCAATGGAATGGAAAGTAAAAACCAAGTGGAAAGGCTCAGAGTGATGTATTCTTCATATTGGGCAGGTTGGCAAGTCAAAAGCAATAAGGAATATCATCTGAACATGAGCAACTATGGCACCATTGATGACCTCATATTGTCCTCCGCTAACAGTAACTTACCAGCAGGCAGTGTGATGAGAGTATTGAGTTTATCTTCAGATTGCAACTATTGAGATTTGGGCTCTAACCACATGAGTCTTCCATCAATGAGCAGAGTGGATGAAAGTTCACGACTTGTCCCAAGGGAAAATGACACACACACAATATTTTAGAGATGCCATCTCTCTTTACACTGCCTGAATCAATAAAAATGCATATTGCCAAATGCATTGTTTGATTATTTAATATATATTGTGCCGCTGCACAGGGCACACCTTCACAAGGCAGCTTACAAGAGAAACAAATCAAGTGACAAAATTTATAATATAATAAAATAGCCTCAGACGAAATCATATACCAGAGGCAAGCAAAAAAATGAAAAACCTGTAAAAAGCTTGGTGGAACAGAGAAGTATTTAATCTTTAGGGCTACTTAAAACCTGTGAGAGAAAGGGCCAAACAGATTTCTCAGGAGCAGGAACCTCACAAGAGTGTGGGCACCAATAAAAACTCCCTGTCCCTGGCAGCAGTCAACCTGATCAACTTTAGTGGGTGGCCCAAGTTCAGGATTCCTGAGGCAGAACTCAGGGACTGGACAGGTTCATATGGGTATAGGTAGCCCTCCATCCAAACCATTAAGCACTTCAAAAGTTTAACAACAGCACTTCAAACGGAGCCTGGAAACAAATGGATAACCAATGTAACTAATGGAAAAGTGTTATGATATGATCAATCCACCAAGTTCCTACAAGCCTTCTGGTAGAAGTTTGGATCAGTTGAACCTTCCACACTTTCTCTTCAAAGACAGTTCTACACAGAGAACATTGCAGTACAGTATGGCCATGTCTTATGCACATTTAACTATATGCAGTTGAAGGTCAGCTGGTTGAAATCTTGCAGGTTAAATGAAGAGCCACCTGCACAGAGAGTGTCTTCCTGCCACAGAAAGAGTTTTGAGTTCTGTGCCTTGCTTACCAGGCTCTGGGAAGGCTTCACACCAGCTCTGGGATCTCACAGGACCCTCCCAGAGCTGGTGTGAGAGCTCCCAGAATCCAGTAAGCAAGGTGGATAGCTTAAGAGCTCTCTGCTTTGTCATTGGGAAAGGGGGCAACACCCAGTTGGCATGCTGGCTCCAGAAAGAGAGGGATAGCTGTGTCAAGCTGCAACCTGGGGTTATTCTGGCTGCATGGAATTTTAGCTTTGGGTACAATCCCCAGAACCTAACCACAGGAAAAGTCACAAGTTGACTGTACCTACTTATTTTCCCACTCCTCTGGGTGAACTGGTAATCACTGAGTTTATTGCAATATTTAAATATTTTACTAGTCTTTTAGCTTTGTTGGATTTTGATACATATAATGTATTGTGATTTTAATCGGCCTTGAAATTCTTTTTTGAATGGAAAGGAACTAGATATATTTTAAATAAATAAATGATAAACTACGCCAATCCTCATCCTCTTTTTTTTGGTGATGAAATATGCTTCCAATGGATTGTAACAGAAATCTACATTTCCTTAATAGTTAAGGATCCCACTTAAATGCAATTTGTCTTCTTCAAGTTGAGTTTTCTAATATATTCTGTCTTTTGTTCCTTGGTTTTCCTTCCTACTTCATTGTGCTGGGTATCACACTGAATACCTCGAGTTAGCCATTGGCGCTTACAAACTTCTGAAATTTACCCCCAAGATCCCAAAGGACAACACAGTCATATTATCTGGAAAATCTCTCTGTCAGCAGAAAACAATTTTCACTTTAAAATATATAAATATTTGGCATACGCACAGCTTAAGGATGAAATGTTAAGAGCAACCCTCAGTTTTTGTTTTCAATCCCTCCACCACCATTATCCATTCTGTTTCCTGGCTTTCATCACGTGGCACACCCAATCCACTTTTGACGAATTCCTTATCCTTTTCATATTTGCAAGTATTCAAGGTTCCAAGAAAGCCTAATTTATAACATGGAGGAGGTTGCAGATTTCTGGCACATGCAGTTGTGCAGATGTTATTCCTTAAGGAAGTCTATCTTGATTGCCTGTGTGAATAATGGCTCAGAGCTGGCATAGTGCCAAGAGTTCTCTCATAGCTGAATGTATAAAACTACTCTCCTACTGAAAGAAGGCCCCCAGTAGGATAATATATTATTACGCATGATTCAAATTACAGGATCTGCAGCAGGGGAGCTAGTGGCTGAATAAGGACAAGCACACACGGAATACTGATGATGGCATGATGGAATCCATCATGCATTGAAAGAAGCATCATTTTAGCATTTAAATCCTCTGTATTCTTTTCAAAGTGACTATACTGATGATTACACAGATGAATGTAATAAACTAATCATGCCTATTTGTGATTTAAAAAAAAAAATACATCCAAGACGAGTTCCTGCAGTATTTTTATTTTGAAATAAAGCTGTGCTTCTTACTGATTACTTGAAGCCCACGAGCTATAATTCAATAAGACAATATTAAATTCGTCTCCTATCTGATCCTGTTCCAGCGATTAGGATACTGTAGAACAAAACTTGTTTCATTTGGTTATGTGGTCTGAAATCTCTGCGTTCCACAGTATTCTGGGCTGTTTTTAAGTCACTTGCACAACAAATTACTTTACCCACAAAGAACTAAACCCACATGTTTGACACATTATTGGCTTGCCAAGCGTTTTCCTTTTATAAAGAAGCACTGTTCATGAAACAATGCATAAAAAAAGGAAGGGAGGAGAAAGAAGGGAGGTATTTAGCACCATTGTTTGCTTGCAGAAAAAGTCTCATCCAGGGAAAGAGCTATTATTTGGGGGATTAATATGCAAGTGTTAAACACAAAAAAACTATAACCAGTGACGGAGTCTATATATTGCTTTGCTCAAAATAGCCTCAAGCCAGCTCTCATCTTAACTTCTTTTCACACACTCTTGTATTCAGTTATTCTGGCAAAAGGGATGCTAATCAGGTGCTTTGTGCAGGGGGCGAGAGGAGTGGGAATGAAATTTGTTCAGAAATGACCTCAATCCTTTTCATTAATAAAATCACATCTAGGCAGAAAAGTGGCAGAAAATTAAATGCAGCACGAACGTGGTTCAGATGTGACATATACTTGCAAGAAAAGAGAATAGAATGTGAAGAGATTTTGCAGCATAATAAGTCTGGAAGCATTCAGAGAAATGCTTAAGTGCAGAGCGATCTTACGCTGCAGCAACCTCTTTACCCCATGTTACCTTCCCAAGTCTTGAAAGAATGTTGTAATGAAGGAGAGGTTTTTGATGCACACAATATGAAGCAATATATCCCTATTATTAGAGAAGTAAAGCTGTTTTAAAAGCTACATAAGGCCAAAAAAAACCCAACACAAGTGAAATAGTGCCCATGGTTATCAACACTTCCCTCCTCCTGAGACAACAGAGAGTTAAAGCACACACACACACACCTCACAGCATCTGGGAAAATGCAGCCACCATTTTGCATAGTGATTCAAATTATGCTGGCAGAATAATTAATTGAGCGACCTAATCTTAGGGAGGGGGGGAGAGAAAAAGGATACATTAAATAAAGTTCATTACTGCATGATGTAAATGAGTTTCTCACCAATGATGTCACTGATTGGCTGAGATGTGGAGCTGGTTTCGAACAGTGCAGCTTGGCCGGATTGGCTGCTAGCTCTTCTGGTTACTGCCTGCTTGGGCAGCGCTTGAACCAGACACTTTTCTGCCTCTCTTGTTGTCGTATGAAGCAAATCATGTTCAGCCCAGCTGTGTCTCCATAGTAGTGGCACCCTAAGAGATTCTCCCTCTTGCTTCCCACAGCTCATCTGTAAGGCGGTCGCTGCTGTGAAATACCAGCCTTTGGCACGGAGCCCAGACTACGTTGTTAGATCCGTCTATAATACAGAAAAGACATTTTTTTAAAAAGCAGTTCTTTCACCAAATTGCATCCTAAGAAGGATTAATAACCCCCGATTGCAGCTGGTTTGTATAGTTTGAAATTATGTCGCTCAGAAACTTTCTAAAATACAGGAGGTGACCTATAGCAAATGAGAGTAACGTTGGCTCTCTGAGAAATAAAGGCAGGAAGAAAAAGCAAGCAAGACGCTTCTTTGTTTACCTTGATTACAAAATTCTTCATTTCACTCTAAGGACTGTGACCGATTTCTTGGCACAGACCCAACCCTTTTGATTTTTTTTTTTTTAAAGAAAAAAAGAGCTAAAGCGCTGGGGGTTTTTTCCTATTTGCATCCGTGTAATTTTTCTATTTAAGACAAGGGATCTTAATTAGTATTCTGTTTAAGTATGCAAACTGAAGCGGGGCCATGATACCAAACGAAACGAAACAAAAAAAAAATCTGTATTGTAAGAGAAAGGGGGGGGGGATCTGTACAGCTTTTACAGTTCAGCTGTCTGACTCTCTGGGAAGGAGAAGGGGGGGAAATGCAGTGATATCAACTTTGCCAGACAATGGAGTACCTACAGGCTTTCCCCCCCAGACATGTCTTTTATAACCAGTCAGTATTATGTGCTGCAGACAGTGGCCAATCAGTAAGCTCCTTTCTACAGCAGTGACACAATAGGTGCAACTGGCCACACTGTCCTCCTAGCCCCTGACAGCAGTTCAGGTTCATTTACCATGTGCTGGAATATGTGTCCGCCTTTAATATTTCAATTTTTTAAAAAAAGCCATCAGCAGCGGCATCCTCCTTTGTTTTAACTATAATTACATCAGCCTAATTACTGTGTATGAGCTGCAGTACCACCGTTCCAAAAAAAAAGGGTCGCATTGACGTCACCCGATATAAATGTGCATGAACACGGCTGGTGATTTAAATAATAAAACGCATCAATTGCTTATGCTTCTCACCCCCACCCACACCACCCATCGGTGCTTCCATCCTTTAACTAAACGAATTGAGAGCACATGGGGAAAATGCAGGATCTGCTTTCAAACCTTCTTTCCTTCCTCCATTTATTTATTTATTTATTTATTTACCCTTCCCTTCCCTATTTTTCATTGTAGCATTCTGCTAAGAAACCGAAAAGACAAATATGCTTCAAGTCGGCAAATGCTCAGATAGATAGGGCAACGACAAAGTATTACCCCTAACTAGATCCTGGGAAATATATCTGCATCTGCACTATCACAGACCCACAGAAGTGTAATGATCGTTAGATGCATAGGGTGGCTATATATGTACGTATCCAACGGTTTGATAATTAATAGACTCCCTTGTAGCCGTCCCGGAAACTATTCATCTGGCCAAAAGATTAAATCATCACTTTTCATGTATTAGTTCAATATAATTGGTCACGTTTGGGGCGGGTGGGGTGGGGTGGGGTGGGCGAAGAGCTGTCATGCTAATTTTTGTGGTTTTATGCATGGGATTTACATATTCATGAAGAGAATAGCTGTGATGACCACCGACAGAGCAGAATGAAAAGAAAGAGCACAATTCTTCAGAATACAGATTGCCTGTACACACACACACACACACACACACACACACACACACACCAAGAAGGTAAATGATGTAGCATATGGCAACAAGAAGAGGAAGCTGTCTGGCTTTTACTCAAACCTCAAGATTTCTATGGTTTACGAACCTCTGCATATAGGCATAAGGTGCATTTATATTATTAATTACCTTTGTCTGATAGCAGGAGGAAAAGAATACTGCTTAGACCCGTTTGCTCCACATGTTCATTGTTATAAATTACACACGCATACAAATATGGATTGTTAGATGGCATTTTATTAGAGATGCATAAAATGCTTACAACAGAGGAACGCTTCTCCATGTCCTGTCCCACCCCACCCTTGGTTAAATTAACCATTTTTAGATCTGGTTTGTACAGGGAATTGTACATTGCAATTAAGATTTATTTATTCATACATACACACATACATACATGAATTCGTTCCATAGCATGGATTGTCATAAACTCAACTAAACACGGGGGGGGGGGTGTCAGTTTGGTACTCATTTGCAAGCGGAAGTTCGAAATTTTAACTTCCTGAAATTATATGCAAACAGAAACACAGCTATCCTTCAAAATTTGCACGTCTTCAATTTTTGTGGTGCAGTTTTTCAACAAAAAGTGTGTACAAAATGCATATATCTGGGGAAAGTGTGCAAAATGTGCATAAAAACACATTAGTGAAAATGCATCATAAGGGAAATTACAAAAATATGCACATTTGGAGATATACACAATATAAAACAGATGAATTCCCTTGAAAACTTCTTTTAAAAAATCACAAATGGTTGTAGAAATGTGACAAACTTAACCCAAGTCTGGAAAAATAGGAAACTAAGAGAAATCAAAATTGACACTTTCCTGCATTGCTACTAAGAATCCACATGTCCTCTCTCTGCAAATGCAGGTGTTAAATCAGGGGTCAGCAACCTTTTTCAGCCGTGGGCCGATCCACCGTCCCTCAAACCATGTGGTGGGCCGGACTGTATTTTGAGGGGGTAAATGAACGAATTCCTATGCCCCACAAATAACCGAGAGATGCATTTTAAATAAAAGGACACATTCTACTCATGTAAAAACACACTGATTGCCGGACCGTGCGTGGGCCGGATTTAGAAGGTGATTGGGCCAGATCTGGCCCATGGGCCTTAGGTTGCCTACCCTTGTGTTAAATGAATAACCTGAAGTACATTTTATCTGTATTTTAAGATGCACAATTCAGTTCATATAAATATTGTTTCTTTGTTCTAAAGGCAACATATCTGGTTTTTGTATAGTTTACAAATGAGACATGTTCCAAGGCAGCCAGTGACAAATAGTATAAGGTTTTAAAGGGGTCTATCTGAAGGTCGCCCACTTTTTTTTAATCTTTCCATTTTTATATTCATGCCATAGCATGACTGCCAACTAATTACTGATCACTGCTCCATTAGCAGTCTTACTTTAAACAAATTACAATCAAATATGAAAATAAATAATATAGACAAAATCTGGAGGAAAAGTTAACTCAGCAGTGAACTAATTTTTATTCCTTTAAAAATCAGCCCGACATACAACATGGATAGAAAAGCATGTGCAGATAACTTCCTGGGAAAGCAACTTGATATATTTAGCCCTAAATAGAATCATGTAACCAGCTGGCACTGCAGGTCTCTAGATCAACCAATGACCAAAAGCGGATACTCTTCACCCTATATGCCCCTATATATTAAGCCACATTTTCCGGATTATAGTGTGTCACAAACACAGAACAGCAGGGAAGTGTGTTATCGACCTGCTGGTAGCCAATGATTTAATCAGACATCTATAGTAGGGCAAGATCCAGCCCAGGTGTGGAGTGATCACTTGAAATCAGTGGGGCTTATAGATGCCTAACTCTATCTAGATCACGCCCATTAGATTCTATATGGTAGATAACATTGAAAAAAATAATTGAATTATCTCATACATAATGTAGCATAATAAAGACTAGCAGTTATGGTTATAATTCAGTTTCCACAAGTCAGATAAGTTTTCAGGTCTTCTAATTTATACAATTAAGAGTGCTCAAATTAAAAAGGTTCATGCATCACATTAAATCATGGTTAAAAATAAACAATAGTTAAAAATAAACCGTGGCTTAATGTGAATGAGCAGAGTGCAGGGTCATGCTGCTCAAAGGTCCTCATTTTGTTCCTTCCCCACTCCTGCTGCTGCCATGCCAGAGAAAGGCAAACAAACCAGAGGCTGGCCTCATCTTATAGGTGAATTCGCACACTGGTGGTTTGTTCTTCTCCAAACACAAGCAAGCAGAACAGGAGCAGAACAATACTCTCCTCACCACTCTTCCCACCTGTGATTCCCAGCCACTGGTATACTGCCTACAACACTGGAAGGAGAATATAATATTATCCTCCATGAATTTGTCTAATCTGCGAAGCAGAACTTTCTTTTGTCAGCCCTGCACCTTCCAATATTTAGGTTTGTTGGATGTCCCCAGTTCTAGTGCTATGAGAGGGAGGGAATTTCCTCTCTGTATCCACATTCTCCAACCATGCATAATTTTATACACCTGTCATTTCCCCTCTTGCTCACTCTTCTGTCCTCTAAAAAGCCCCAAATGTTGCAACTTTAACTCATAGAGGAAATGGAAAGAGGCAAGTCATCTTGAGCCTGCTAATGTATTTCTTCAATGGGTTATTAAAACATCTTCATTCACAGCGCAAGTTACACTATCTGTAACTTCTGTTCGTTTGATGTATGATTAGAACACTCATTGGCACTCCAACTTTTCCAATTTTCCTGGAGCAGCCACAGTTCAGAGTCCTGACCTGATTACAGTGGTACCTCTGGTTGTGAACTGGATCCGTTCTGGAGCCCCGTTCGCAACCTAAAAGGAACGCAACCCGCATCTGTGCATGCACGGGTTGCGATTTGCCGCTTCTGCACATGCACGTGACATCATTTTGCGTGTCTGCGCATGCATGAGTGGCGAAACTCCGGTACTTCCGGGTCGCCACAGGACGCAACCTGAAAAGACGTAACCTGAAGCAAACATAACAAGGTATGACTGTATATCATTTTTCTCAGCCTTTTTGTATACAGGCACACACCTGTATATCAAGGTTATGTTAGGAGAGAAGAGCAAATCCTACCTACTGCACAGGAAAACAATCTGAATACAGAAGTCTCATCTCTAGTTCATCCGTTCCATACTCAGATAAGGGCACCCCTCCCTACAGCACACTGTAGTAGAAACTTGATTCAGAGCTTGCCCCTAGCTCCCAGTTCTTTACAGTATAGGGGCTTGTGTCTTCCAAACCACACTAGCACCCCAGCCAGGCTTACCCATGCACCATCTGCTACCATTTCCACCAGGATGAGAGTGCTGGCTTCAAACCTAGCAGTGGTAAGACTACAAATCCTTCTTACCTTCACATCTGAAATAGCCCGAGGATTAATTTCCTGCCCTGCATTATACAAGGCAAGCTATTGTGAGTGGAGGTGTTCATTATTAGATCTGTCACCAGAAGCATGTGTCTCACTTATGCTCTGAACCACCCTTGAAAGCTAGGCCCATCCTACAATAAGAAGTTTCCATTTCTTGTTAAGTCACAGCTATATAGAATGGGAACACTATGTGGCGAGCCCAGTCAAAATCCTGCAGCTGTTGCTGGTGCATTGGCACAGTATAGGCCACGGGGTGGGCCTCTTAGCAGACTAGGAGCCCTGCAAATAAATCAGCTGTTGGATCTTTAGCACTATTTGTCCTACCTACTCTGGAGGGCTTCTTTAAGTCTTGAGACCCAGGAGCACCAGTGCAGCTTGGCAATGCTAGATTTTGAGGGGGTTCTTTAACTAGGAATGCTATGTTTGTGGGTCCAACTGCTCATTCTGTTGAGGGGAGTTTTGGACTTCTGTCCCAAAATTCTGTCTTGGTCAGTATCACTGCCCAGGAGGAATGAGGAAGGGAAAGGCTTTAACTGAAGAGAGGCCCAACTTTCTTTCCTGCTTGGTTGTGCAGTGTAGCAATTATCCAGTCAGCACTAGCCTCTCAACCTGCCTAGCGGCCAACTAGTGAATATATTCTTCCTATAGAGAAACAAGGGATTTCACCTGATGTCAAGCACAGAGAACAGGTTTAGCTCTTATTCAAGTCACTCATGTCAGAGAGGATGTCAGCAGTTAGGTTCATATAGCCATATGTGGTGGGAATGCAGGCCTGTACAACTATTTTGGAAATTCATATTTGCAGAAGTTTCTTGTATTACAGGACAGATTGATCCAAGGCTAGCTTTATTAAATTTGTTTATGGATGACCATAATAATTTATTTTTTAAGGACCTACTAATCTTTTTCATGTCTGCAGCTAGAAATATACATAATTACACAATCCAGATAACAGCTATTCTTAACTCTGCTAGAGGCATGGTGGGATAGAATATGAAATATAGTCACTATGATCATATGAGCACTCAGGAACACAAAGGCCAAAGGTGATTTTGAAATGGTACAGTACATGTTTATTCAGTATGCTGAAAAGCCCAGTGTTGTCCCCTCACCAGGAACTATCCATAGCTCACTCTGGGACAATCTGTTAAGGAAGAGAGCAGAAGACCCTTATTGTTTGACTGTATCATTTACTCTGTATATGCATTGAATGTTTCTTGCTGGGTATCAGTATATGGGGATTGTTTGTTATTTGTATTTTTTGAAACTGAAAAATAAAGAAGTTAAAAAAGCACAGAGAACAGAATAATTGAGCTGTATACCAAAGCATGTTTTGGGAAAGTAGATGCTGTGACTTTAAAGAAATGTGTGTTGATAAATTGCCTTTGGCCTGCACATGTGGAATTGTTGAACAGAAGGGCCCTGAAAATGTTTATAGTACAACACTGTTTAAAGGAAAACTAGGGATCGTAAATAAAGACCCAAAAAAGAAAGAAAGAAAAACAGAAACTTTTGCAAAGAAAAAAGAAACTCAACATAAACAACCACAAGATTGAACAATATTTAAATATAAACAGAAGACAGCTAGATTTAATAAATATAATTGAGGCAAGTAAATCATTTACTGACAAAAGCAAGAAAACCAATAAACTCTTGGCTCACTGTCTAGAGAGAAAGTAATAAATGATTCCTCTGGTGATGTCCAAGGAGGACCTACAGAAACTTACTAACTTTAATAAACAACTTATTACCACATTAGTAACTTTTATTAAGCTATCAGTCAAATAATTCAGTTCATCCAACATTAAGTAAATTATTTTTAAAAAACAGCAAATAGTTAACATTACTGAAGGACAGGCAACTTCCCAGTTACAGAAAAACACACAACGTGCACGCACTTAAATTCCTTATCCAAATAAATTATCTGTGCAGTTTTATAGCCTGAATTTAGAATCACTAATCCCTCCACTAATTAGTCTCCTTCATAAACTTCAAATTCTGGACACATTGACTAAAGCCATGATTATACTTCTACAAAAGTTCAGTAAGGACCAGCCCTCCAAGTATGCAGACCAATTGGGTGGTGGACTGTGTCACAGGACTAGGAAATGACTGACCCACATTTGCTAAGAATCCAAAATCCCAGTACATGACTTGCCCTTAAAATGCTGCCAGCCTGTGAAAATGCATTAGATAAGTGAGAGTGACATAATGTAAAAGTGAACATCCAGCTAAAGTTTGCTCAGTGGGAAAAAAGATATTATTGACTCTTCCAAGGCAACCTGAGCATGTCTGCTTCTCCTTACAGAACAGCCACACTTAATGTACGATATCACTGTCTTATCCGCTAAATTAGTAGCATTATATATTGCAACACCACCTCATTAACTGGAAACTATAGCCACTTAGGGGCAACCCTGGTTGTATAATTACAAGTTTCGTGCTTGGATTCCTCTTACTCGTTTCCCAGCTCACCTCTCATGCTGGAAGAAGGCAGGAGAGGGGCAATCCTAATGAATGCACATTGAAAATCACACACAAGGATTTAGCTGCATGATGCCCCTAAGAACCAGCAGGGGATGCTAAAAGATTTAGCTGCTTAGCAATGTACACCTTACTGTTGATGGTAAGACACAATACATTTGATATTCTACCTACGCTTTCACCCAGGGCACATGTAAGGTTAATAAGAAGTTGAAAGAAAAGCATGCTGGTCTAGGTCTCCAGGATAAAGGCGCAAGCAGCCTGCCACAGCCAGGCCTCAACCTTCTTGACTGACTCAAGTTATTGCCATGCATCTGATAGCAAATGATGCTCTGATGTTAGCTATTCAAAACAGACTATTGCAAGAATCTCTGTGGTTTGGTTTAAACAAGTTAAGGAGTATTATAAGAGAGCTCCTCAGTTGCTCCAAGTAAATAATTTTCTATGCAGTTCTTGGTGCATGTCTGAACATGAGCATTCAAATCCTCCATGGCTTAAAAAAAACACCCAAAAAAACTATGCAGGATGCTCTTCACAACGAATGGTCCTTCAGAAATCTCATGACTAAGACAGAGCCTTCCCCATGCGTAAATTAAATTCCAAGGATGAAACAAAAACATAGTTGGTCACCCACATCTGAGTTACCTTCAGTGTGTGAACTGAAAGCCTTGTGTGCTGTTCCCTTGGTTGCTATTGCCAAAAAAAGAAACTGAAGGAAAACCTGGAAGTGCAGAAATGCATGGGATGAGGAAACAGAGACAATGGAGAAAGTGGAGAGAGAGAAAACAGATGATCAGAGATATAAATGCAGAGAGATGTGGGGGGCGAAAAGCACTGATAATTTTTCAGTTAACGATGTGGCAATGCCCACCTTCTAACCTGAAGTGGTGCAAAGAGAGATCACTAGGAGGTGCAGAGTGAAAAGGGATGGTGATCAGATGGCAATACAGAAAGTTGTGGTGGAAAAGGGTTAACAGATGGAATTCAGAGGAAAACCCAGGAAGGAGTGCTATAAAGAGGAGATGAGGAGGGTCTAGAGAAGAAGGAATAATATGAACTGTTGTGTTTGCAGGGAAACCTTAACAACACTAGAGAGACAAGCAGGTATGGCACTCCTATTCAATGCCATTGCCAGGTCCTAAGCCTTCCTGTTCAACCTGTGGCATCCATTCTGTAGATTATCCACCTATGCTCTAGTTTATTTGAAAGTTAGATACAATTACTTTACATCTATTCTATCATATCTTGACCAGCCTTAATCAACTGCATTTGTTTAAATGGAAATAACAGCATATCGCAGCATTTCTTAGCAAACAAGTTACTCAAGCAATTGTTTTGATGGTTCTCAAATGTAGTCGCACTGAAGGCCAGCATTTTAGTTTGCTTGTTTCTGGAAAATGAGCACAACGTTTGGCCTTATAGTCATTACGCAAGAGGGTTCTTGAAAGGCTTCCGAATAAAACTCAGTTGTAGTATTTATATTTGTTAGAATAAATGTCAAATAAAGAACAGTAGTTTGCATGAATGCAAAGAAAATCCTAAAAATATTATTGCATGATAGGCTCATTATGCTTTCCAAATGCTACCATATTAGTAACAAGCAACATTTATGAAACATTCCTATATAAATACAACATATCCAGAGGCCAACGTTTCTGCAGCAGAGAAGATCTACCTTACACTGCAGTTATAAGTGGCAGCTGGAACATCAGGCAAAAAACTTTTTTTAAAAAAAATCCGCCAACATTGGTCAAAGGCTTTCTCCCAGTGAATCTGATGTGGTGGCGGTGTGATTTTCTAAGGTCATATAAACAGCAAACTCATAGCAAAATGTATTATTTTAAAAGAGAATTGGGGAGGAGTTAGCAGCCAGCAGCAGTTCTACTTAGATGATTGCAGCTTATGGGAGCTCGTGTACTGGACTCGTAAGCAGGGGCATTTGCAAGAGCACTTAGCAGAGAGTTTGAGGGGGATGTCTGGAGCGCTGTCTCATGGTGCGTGTAGGATCTGAACCAATGGATTCAAGTTACAAGAAAGGAGATTCTGACTAAACACCAGCTGTTCAACAGTGGAATGAGGTGGTGGACTCTCTTTCACTGGATGTTTTAAAGCAGAGGTTGGATGGCCATCTGTCATAGATGCGTTAGTTGAGATTCCTGCGTTGCAGAAGGTTGGACTAGATGACCCTCGGGATACCTTCCAACTTTTACAATTCTATGATTCTATGATTCTGAAATAAAGGGGGTGAGGTTTCACTTGACCTACTTTAATGGGAGTGCAGTTGATTGAAGGAAGACATGAACAAGCCTAGAGAAATGGCACATTTTTTCAAATCACTTCTTCAGTACTTTCTGCCAAAATTTATGTTGCCAGAAGAAATACTGGACATCCCATGAGGGTGCTTTCTGGGATCCTCTCAAGTGTGGAAGGCATTGCAAGTGCCCACGTTTTCCACCTCTCCTTAATATGCATTAGCACTAAACAGAGAATGTGCATCGCGAAGAAAGATGCATTAAAGCCAGCATTGGCTTCAGAAAATCCCGCATTGCTTGAAATACAATCAGATGTTATTTTGTGGCAGTATTAAGATTATATTTCTAATAAACACCACAAACAGTTTTAATAGCTGGAATGGTTTTTCTCTTACATAAGCAGAAGTAACGTAAACCAGCTGAGCCTGGGATCATAATGGAGGCCTGGAGTGTCTGAATTTGGCTTTAAACTATTCACTGCATATTGTTGGTCACTGATCACACCATATGGAACCTGATTCAGCCTTATGCTAAGTTACAGTGCACTCCTAACTATGTGTACTTAGAAGTTAGCCCTACTGGATTCAATGGGGCTTATTCCTGGGTAAATGGGCTTAGAATGGCAGCCTAAGAGTCTGAATACCTTCACTGTATCAGTAGCTAGAGCCAGCTGGGAGAGCTTCTTTCTAATAAGCTTTTAAAAATAATATTGGCTGGCTTGCAGTTAATATATATTTAGCAGAGTAAAAATAACTTAGAAGCTGGAGTTTAACCTACCACCCATCATCTGTCTCATACAGATATCCCTAGCATTGCTTTAAAAACAGAGTAACGTTAAATACACAGGAGTCCCACTGGCAAAGAGAGAGAAAATGTTCCTTTACTTACAGTTACTTCAAATTCACAAGCATGGCTTTGGATTCTCAGTTAACATAATGAGAGGAGGTTTTCATGGCTGCCTCAT